CACTCTATATTATAATCCTTAAAGTGCAAGAAAAAAATTGTAAGACGAAAATATAGTAGAGATTTACGGAATATTATACCTTTTTATTGTAAAGGATTTATAACAAATCACAATGATTTTTAAATCACTTTTGAAGAAGTCTAAAAGTATGCAATGCAATTCGAAAAACTTTTCCATTTTTCATAGCATACTTTCAAACACCTTTATAAATGTTTTTTGAATAATAATTCTCTGGCACCCTCATTTTTATTATCCAATTAAATACTATCAGTATTTTGGTATAATAGTAAACCCTTTACTGACATATAGAATATAAATTATTTTTAATATGAAGAATTTCTTAGAAATCACAGGCATCTTGAAAGTACCCAAAAAGTATGCAATACAACCCGAAATTGTCTTTAGTATTTTATACCACACTTTTGGACTCCTCTGGCACTTTTTCTTTAGTGTTTATTTAGTTACTATAATCAAATTTGTAATTTAGTAAGCCCTGTAGACATTTTTGAAACATAGTTCCTCTTTACTATGAAAAATTTCTTAAAAATCACAGATTTTGAAATCCCTTTGAAAGTAGCCTAAAAGTATGCAATTCAATCCGAAAAACGATGTTCATATTCCTCAGCACACTTTTAGACACCTTTATAAATGTTTTTTAAATGTTGGCTGATTCTCCGACAGCTTTTCTCCGAATAACTTTTACATTTAACTGTTTACAACTCCCTGAGTTTGACCTTGCACTATCAAAAATTCCAACTAACTTTCCTTTTATGAAAGGGTATTCTGACATTCCCCGGTCCGTGGATTCCTCGCGTAAGTTGTCTGCACGAAAGCGAAAGATGAAATCATGCGGTCTGCGAGTGCCTCCAAAGGTGGAGCACGGATTTGGGGCTGAGATAGGTGACTGGGTGGTTTGGGTGGCTCCGATGACTCGGCGGCTGAGTGGTTGAGTGGTGCAGCATGTGTGCCACATGGCGCATTGCCGTATCCACGGCAACGACGACTGTTTGTTTGCCTCTTTGTTTATATTTTCTTCATCTCATTTTTTTCCGCTATTTATGTTTTATTTTTGAGACTGAATGGTTTATTATTTTGCGCTTATTTCTAATTTTTTCCGCATCATCTTGGACTTTATTCATCTCCTGCCGTGATTTATACCCAATACACACAGTGTGAGTGTGAGTGCTCCTGAGGGCTGCAAGTTAATGTGGCGCATTATGTAGCCACATAGTTTCAGTTTCGCTGGGATTATGCAAAGTTATGCTGGGCGGCCCCCAAAACTCTCCCACTTCCTCCGTAAATCTGGCCAATAAACTGCAGAGCAGGCGGCCAACGCACATATAAAACAATTTGCCTACAAAAGAGCCGGGCCGCTGTTGCCTCATTTTCGTGGGCCGGCAATTTAAAATTGTTTATAAAACACAGGACGGCAACGGCAGCTCACATGAGCATAAAACTTGCATGGAAAGATGGCTTGGATCCTGTTGCTGGATGCTCCTGTTGCCACAATAGCTCCCCGAGGTCGGCATTAAATTCTGCTGCTGGCCTATATAAGCCGGGTTCGGGGTTTGGGGTTCGGGGTTCGGGCCATGGCCCTAACTACACCATGGGGACAGTAATTGATGATAGTCTAAGACCCAAGATATGTAGCCCTAGCTGAGGCTATAGATGAAAACTGAGGCTGAGGCTGAGCCGTAAGCCTAAGCGAATGCCCCGGGATATAAAAGGACTTAGTCGCATGTTAACGCCACGCCTACGCAAATCCATGGCAGCAGCAGCATCAGGATCAGAAACAGGACCAACCACCCCCGCAATGCACTGCATCCAGACCATCGTATATCCTGCGGGGTGAGATGTGGCTGATGTCTCCCTGAAGCCACATCCCCCATCTTTTGCCATTATGAAGTCATAAACGCACATGCAGCCAGCCCAAAAATTGGAAGAGCCCATTGGGGATGGGCCCGAGGCCAGCTCCATCTTCATCTGGCCCCGACTTTTGGCCGTTTTCTGTTTTTTTAGCACATGTAAAAATGCTTGTTATCAAGAAGAATGAGAAAGGAAAACACCCAGTACGTACTGCTAGTCGAAATGGGGGGGTCGAAAAAAATTAAACAACGAAATGTGGACAATTTTCGGGCACAGCCCCGAGCTTAAACTGTTATTACCAGCGAGGAGTGGGCCGTCTGCTGTTTATGAGTTGTAAAGCCCTAGTCAGACAATGGCCGAATAGCCGGCAACAGCAACACATGAGCGCTAAGCCGGCGGACATATTACGAGCCTGGTCTAGTTTGCTATTTTAAACAGCAGGACAAATCGGGTAGGAACCCCCACTTCCTTTGCCACTCCGACTGTCAATGGTCTGTGCTGGCTTCTTATGCCTGGCTGCATTTTATATTTATCCTGTGCCAGAATTTGTGGGTTTTTGCCTAGGAGGTGTTTAGTTGGTTGGGCAGGGCAGGGCCTCCCAGGTGAGTTATGTAATTTCGATTGCGCACTTTTCAGTAGGCTCTTGAAATGGACCGTCGCTCTAGGGGAAGTCCAGTTTCCAGCAAGAGAAAGTCAAATCAAAATTACATATATATTTTTAGAAGTCAATTTTCTATTCAGTCTTGAAATGACACTGTTATTTTATTATTAAAGAAACTGAGCTTAAACTTAACTAAGCAATATAGTTAGTTTACTAAATATTTTTTTTATCATTTTAATTTCATAAAACATTATAACAATGATTCAAAGTGTTTTAAACATATTTTGGGTATACTTCATTATTAAATGAATAATGTGTATATATTTTTAAGTTTATCTTAATCAGCGGTAGGGAGCATCCAAGCCCTAAGGAAATGCTTTTCATAAGCTCTGACGCAACACGTACAGCATATAAATTATGTAATATAAAGCGTTCCAAGTATAAAAATGTTAACGAAATAATATTATACCCATAATATACATATCCTTTCTATGTAAGAACATGCCACCACTAAGATATAATTTGTTTTAGCTTTATTCTCAAGAAAATTTTAGATCTAATAGATCTAGCATTTTTCCTTTAAGAACTTACTTGTTTTTCAAACTTAAAGTAGCCAATTTTCTTTACATTTAAATTTATCCAGCTGTAAGATGAACCTCGATTGCTGGCAATAATGCCTTGGGGTGTTAAACTAATTGAATCGCCGCCCCTGCCCACCAAAAACACTTTTTGATGAGCCTTCGATCTCGAGTTTCCTCGCCTCGGCGATATCACAAAGGCCACGCGTCAATTACACTGAAGTAGATGTAAAATGTATTTTAAAAGCTTGTCCAATATTATTTTACCATGCAGACTGAATTTCGACGGCAGGCAATCGCGTTAGCAATTCGAAGTCCGGACTTGGGCGCGTGTTCCTTCCGGTTTGGGCAGCACGTGCCCGTGGAAAATTGTGGAACTTGGCCGACATTCCGTTCGGGGCTTAAAGAGCAACTTTAAGGCGGGTTTGGCCAACTACTCGCTCGGGCGGAGTGAAAAACGGAAAAACGGTTCGAGCGTTCCCAACACATTTTTGGCATACTTCACACAATCTACTGATGAAGTCAACTGGAAAACTCGCATAGCTTTGATGTTTCGACAGCAATTGCAATGTGTACACACGGATATACACGAATATACGGATAGGTAGTACCCACCCACACAAATGCTCAAAGGATGCCATTTGTTCGAATGTCCTTTGGCGCATTTCAAAGCCCGCAACTTCAAAGCCCAAAAATGACCTTTTGTGTGCCGCAGATGCTGTGGCCAACTGGCCCATGCGAAAGGGGCCACTAAATATTAATTTACTAAATTAGTTTGTTCACCTAATTACCACTATGATATGGCAAGCTGGCGAACTAAAGCCGACTCCTTGCCAGTTTGCTGAGAGCTATTAAATTTGTTTTGCAATTACTCTAAAAGGATTTCAATTAGCGTTTGCAATCGCATTAAACTAAATGAAAATGTGCGCAGTCCGCAGCAAACAAAAATAAAATGAAATATATTATAATCATAATAGGGAATTTAAAAACATTATCCGTGGTGCTTGGGCAGAAAAGCTAATTACAGTAATGCCATAGAAATGCAATTACAAAATATCCGAATTATGTAACAGCTATTGGAATGGTTCATATTTTCAGCAAATCCCTTTTTTTCCAATTAAAATATGCACAAGGGTGAGCGTGCAAATTAATCAAGGTATTTCCATCACAAATTGCAATGGACTAAGTGGCAAATAATTTAGTTGCCCATTCGTTAATAGCCCTCGCGCATTCTAAACAAATTCATTCCGATAATATTCAGCCGAAAATGAACAACAAATTATGCATAATTAGGCTATCAGTACTTATTAAAAATTGTAATAAATGAGTTTTTAGTCAACCAGACAATTGGCTGCCCTGCTGACAAATTAAAAAAATTAAAAATAAAAAAAATATGAAAGTCCCAAGTTCTTTTAACAAAAGGATGAAACACTTTTTTTTATGAACTCGAACCGAGCATTATTTTATTTGTGTCCAACAAAGTATTTTAAAAATATATTTTAACTCAAAAGACTCCTTGAGTGAGGGAATTTTTTCGTGATCACATTTCAAAATGGGAATTCAAAGCAAATAAGATTTTTTAGCAGCCATCGAGGTAAGTAAATAATTCTGTAACACACTAATATCAATCTCAGCTTCATCCCAAAAATGGTTGAAATTGGACCATCCATTAAATAGTTATAACAGCACATTTTGTATATTTCTGAGAATTTATTTGTAATATTCAGAGTATTTTTTCAAAAACTAAGCGACTTCCTAGGCATTCATTTTTTTACGACCTGCACATCAGTAATTAGTACACCCAGGTTGCCGACCTTGGCAGTGGCACTAACTTTAGGAGTTAGTCACTCAGCGTGACAGATGCGTCTCTGCTTTTAGTGATAATCAATATACGGGTCAACAAAAAACTGACAAATTCAAAGCGTCACGCAATGTACAGAACGAACTATAAAAACCGCAGTAATTTTAGAGAGCGATTAGTTAACGAAAAAACTAAGCAAAATGAGGGCTACTCTGGCATTGACTCTGCTGCTCAGCTGCCTCACAGGAATTCTGTCGGTAAGGGATCCCGTGTTATATATAATTTAAAAAATATTATAAGTTATGAAAATCTTTCTAAACAGCAAAAAAATTTGGATGCCGCGGTGTCCAAGGCAATGGTGGAAGGTTGCATGAAGGAAAACGGCGTAACTCACCAGGACATAGAGGACTTGCAATCGGGCAAGGTGAAACCAGAGGATGCCAAGGACAACGTGAAGTGTTCCACCCAGTGCATTCTGGTCAAGAGTGGCTTCATGGACTCCACGGGAAAACTGCTGACCGACAAGGTTAAGGCTCACTATGCCAACACGAAATTTAGTGACGCCATCGAAAAGGATTTGGAAAAGTGCAGCCAGGTCAAGGGGGAAAATGCCTGCGACACGGCATTCAAGATTTTAGGCTGCTTCCAGGGCGTCGAATAGAAGTCCAGCATAACATTTCAAGAGCAAACATGGCAAGCAGTATACACATATATAGCAAATCCTTCAATTCAAAATGTACCAAACAGCATTTTAAGTTTAATATAAAAGTTGCAAGAACTGAACTGAGCTGTTTTTTGTCAATTATTTGGTATTTTAAAGGGTTCTTCAAAGTTTGTTACTACTTCATCCGTTTATTTCCAATAATTTATGTGGCTCGTGGTTTTACTTGGCTTTGAAATCCGAAAATAAAAATGGTACATTTTTGAAGCTCAACTTATGAAAAAAAAGACCTAAAATAAATCGCATATTAATTTCGACAGATATTATTGATAATAATGTGCAACAATGTTAAAAATATCTAAGAACCTAACTTCGCATCCTCTTACTCGTTCGCACTTAACTCAAAAGTCCTTAAACATGTTCATCTTTCATTTTGACCCTGTTAGCCTTTTTCGGTGGCTAATTTCGGAAATATTCCCGAAGCATCTGTGAAATGCCAGCAATTTAATTATTTCGAACCGCTTTGGCAAAAAGGCAAACAGAGCACTCATAAAATCATAGCCACCGGCAACAATTTCAATCGAATTGTCAGGGTCGGGACACTCTTTGCTATTCTACAGCACTCCAACCCCATGTTGCTGTTATCGAAGACAAACTAAGTTTTCATATATAAATAGACGCTGCCGGCTGGATACTCGGCGATTTTTGGGGGCAGGCTACATATTGTGTTCCGAGGAATTTTTAATTTCTTCATTGTGAAAATATTTATTGAAACCGAACATCGCCAAAGGCATCGAAAAGTTGACGGAGCACTCGCACCAGGCGAAAAGGGACAAAAGAAAAACAAGAGCCCGAAAATTGCGCAACGCGAGAAGTTCGATGGTATTGGGAAAATCTCTTTAGATGGGAACCCCAAAGTGGAGGAGCCCGGGTGAGTGACTTTAACCGGGGCTCAGTTGCAGCTTAAAGGAAGTTCAGGGTCCGGGTAAAACCTGGACAGCTCCGGTAATAGCCACTGAAACCTGGGCAAACAAATTGAATGAAATCAACTCGTTAAAAAGTAAATAACTCTGATGAATGGCTGAAATGCACAAAGAGCTGCAGGTAAGAGAAGAGGTTGGGATCTCTTTTCCGCCTGCCAGTCAATTGAAAATGAAATACAAATAAAAATGCAAACAACCGGGCAACGCATCGGCCACATACAAATGCTGGCTAAGCAGCAGGCTCCAGGATATGCCGCCGACGATGTCTGTGTCTGGACTGTCAGGAATGGCCGAGGAAATTAGTAGACCCAAGCACAAAAGGAGCTGAAAATGTTGAAAATAGCTGAAGGAAATGGGCTGTAAGCCGCCGCAAGTCCAGGAGCCAAACAGCCAGGACATCGGCAAGTTGCAGGGGAAAAGGATTCGGAGTTGCAGCTGGAGATGGAGGCAGGGCCTGGATGTTTTCCTTTCACATTCATCGATGAACTTTCAATAACAGAACTTTAGCTTGCCGATTTTTTATGGCCAACGGGCTTCCTTCGCCCCTTTATGTACCCTTTTTTCAAGGATATGACATTGAATTGCATTGGTTGCCAGCTGAAAGTGCAGGGTGGCAAAAGTTTGCACCATGGAATGGTTTCTGGCATGGGCCTGAAAAAGTTGTTGCTAAAAAGTTACTTTGCGAGGCATGAGAGCTCTTGAAACCAGTGGAAAAACTTATCTGGATGAGAAGAGATTTGGAGAATAAGCGCAGGTTCTTTTGGTCACATTAAATATTTATAATTGACTTCTTACTTGGTTTTGAAGGGTTTAAAATGAGTGCACAGGGGAAAAAACATGGAAATAGATCAAAGATTAATATAATAAATTAAATATAATATTTTTAAAATATTTTATGATGGCTTTAATAACAAAGTGATAATTTCTCACAAGATATACACTTTAGCAAATATTTGTTATATGTCCTTTTTGCTTATAACGAAAATACATACATTTTTATTACATATACATATATAGTATAATTGACTTCTAAATTGATTTTGATGGGTTTAAAGTGATACACAGACAAAAATTTTGGGAAATAGATCGAATGCCAATAAAATTAACTAAACACAATATTTTTAAAATATTTAATGATGCCTTCAATAATAAAGATATTGATTTGTACAAGATTTACACTGAATCAAATATTGGTTATATGTCTTTTATGCTGATAATTGACAGGCTGATATTTTTTTTTATTTAAAAAGATAGTAAAGTTAAGAACTGTTTTTGTTGTTACGTAGAAAAATGTCATTATTGAGATGTACAATATTTTCTGCGTGTAAAACTCCTATTATAAATCCGTCAGCTTCACACCCAAAGTCATGAGCTTAATTACATTCCAACGCGATTTCAGTGAGCACGATCCTTGGGTTAGTCGTTTCCAAGGCAACATCCTTTTCACCAGCTTCCTCGCCGCTGCTGTTGACAGTTTCCAGGGCGCTGCTTCACATTCAGATTTCGCATCGACTTCACCTTCCAACCGCACTTTATTAAAAGCTAAACAGCCAAGTTGCTGATGCCGCTGCCAATGGCAAAAGCAGGAAATATGAATAAACCGTGATAGACTGAGGGAAATGCAGAAATCCCCCGAAAAACCCAATACCACTCCCCTGCAATCCAATCCCAGCTCGGCAGCAGCCAAGTCAAAACCCATTCAACAACAGTTTCGCATAATTGTAAATTCAAGTGGAAATGAATGAATTTACGCTGAACTCGACAGAAAATACCAGCAAACGAATGTTGCTGTTGCCATCGCTTTTGCTGTGCTGTTGCTTTTGCTGCTGCCGCTTTTCCCGAGCAGGTACCAAATACACTTAGAGAAAGGAATCAAGGAGGTGTGCTTAAGATATCCAAAATACATTAATTTATATTTTAAGTTTCAAAATAACGATTTAAAGCAATAGAAAATACATAAATAAAATAAGAAATAAAATAACAAAGTTAAGGCAAGTTAAAATATTTAAAAAATATTTAGATTCAGATGACTTTTTAAATTTTTTGAGTTTTAAATATTGTTTGAAAAAATCAGACTTATCCCAGACCAAATGTCAACGCAACTATACATTTGCTTAAAAACAGGATTTTGAAAAATTTTCCTATCTCAAATATGAAACATGTAGTGAACCTGTAAAAAAATTCAGGATTGTGTAAAATGGTGTTATATCGTAAAGTTGAGAAAAAATAATTTAATTTTTCGTTTTGATCGTTAAAACCTCGTTAAAACTTATAACTTAAAATATGAAAATATGTAGCGGATTTATAATAAACATAAATACAGTTCAAATTTTGACGTTAGACTATGGGTTAAAAAAAGTTTCTCACGTAATTATATTTTTTAGAACATAAATACATTTTCCAAAACATTAATGGTAAGAAGAATACAAAAATATGTTTATATATTATGGCAAAAACTTCATCCTTAATATATTCCATCTGCAATTGTTTGGTGTAACAGGTAACTGTGAGGGAGGTAACGAATGCTGATGACGATACATTATTCGAAATTTGACGACAGCCCATAGGTTAAAATAAATATCTAACTGAATTATATTTTTTCTAATGTATATTTTTTAAACTTTTGTTGTATGAATAAAAAAATTATGAAGAAACCCTCCTTAAAAGTTCAATATTGAGGGATGAAGTTCATCCTAAATATATTCCATCTGGAATTCTTTGGGTGTAACAGGTAACTGTGAAGAAGGTAACGGATGCTGATGGCGATGGCTAACGGTAACGTTTCCCAATGGCGCGCAAACAATATGGCGTCGCCGTCGAGGTCGAGGATTCAAAAAGGGGAGTTGGTGATGGGCGGTGAAAGTGGGAGTGGCAGTGGGAGTGGCAATCGGGTCCCGTTAGCCGTGGCGGAATCACGTTGCCTGCATATTTTCATTCATTCGTTTCAACGTCAACGTCTGCCGACGACTGCAAAGTTATGGAATGCATAACGGGCTGTTCGGGGTACTATATGCTGTACTCTCCCCCTATATATTTGCACTTTTGTGTATCTGCCGGATCCGACGGGGCTTGAATGTGCACACTTCTTGTTGCTCTGTTGGCTTACCCCTCAAGTATTTACGCCTTTATTTATTTAACATTTCAATTGCATATTTTCGCACAAAAGCGCGTGCCAAACCGAAAGGATGATGGCGATGGCGATGGTGATGGTGATGGTGATCCCCTAGCTGGGCAATGTCAATGCCCACCGACCTCAAAGGGTTAACTCGAATGCTTGTGGGGGCTTAGCTCAAACAAATATCTGAAGGTCCTGCACGTTTCCATGGGCGTGACCCATGCTAAATTGTCCGCAGTCAGTGTCATTGCTCTGGGCTCAAAAGTTTTCAAGAGCGGGTTCAGCTATCCAGTAAATGAGATGCAAATATGATTTCTTTTATTTTTATATAGATTGTAAATAGACTGAAATTCGTGGATTAAACGTTTTTAAAAAACCCTTAAATCATACACTCAGAAAAATACACCGCGCTAAAATCGAGTACAAAGTCTTAATTTAAGGAGGATTTCATGCTTAACTGGAAAGGTATAAATTAAGCACAATTTGGATTTAAATACTTTACTATATTATTTAAAATTCTTAAGTGATGACTGCAACATTCTTACTTTATTAAAAAATTTAACTTATTTTAAGTTCAAATATCACTAGATTTAAGAATAATTTATACGTGGTTGTAAACTGAATGGTTCTAAAAACGTACTGAAATCAAGTATTTTCTGTTATAAAAATTGTTACTTGAAAGCTGTATTTTGTTCTCGGGATCGGGATAATCGATGATGTTAAGTTTTGACACTGAAAATACGTGATTCAAGAACGAAATACTTAATATTTTTTCTGAGTGTAGAGTAGGTCCAACAATTTTATATCTTGTAATCATGTTAATGAAATAATATTCAAAACGAATATATTTTCTATATGATTTATTATAACTGCATTTTATTTGAAATAGAAAAATCTTTTTATGCTCGATTAGAAAGAACCCTTATCAGTCTACTAGTAGCTTCCAAAATCATTTGTATGAGGATGACAGATTGATGGCCATGTCGAACATCATAGCGTCTGCCAAAATTGTATATATA